TCCGCCCCCTCCCTCTCCCCCCCTCAATGCCCAGCAGAAACTATTTTGCCCTTATTTCTAATTTTGTTGTAGAGAGAGTATAAGCAATAATAGGAAGGAATAAGGGTTTTTGCTGTCACATTGATTTCCTGTGCGTGGGTGTTACCTTCTAGGTTAATTCTTTTTGATCTAACCTTTTCTCTAGTTCCTGGTCCCCTTTTCCTATTGGCCTCAGTTGCTTTTAAGGTATCTGCTTTAGCTTCTCTGCGTTAAGGGCAACAAATGCTAGCTAATTTTTTAGGTGTCTTACCTATCCTCACCCCTTCCTTGTGTGCTCTCGCTTTTATCATGTGCTCATAGTCCAATCCCTTTGTTGTGTTTGCCCTTGATCTAGAAGGCTAACCCTTAACCCTTTGCTTTTAATACAAGTTCTTTTCAAGTATCTCCTATTGCTGGGTGCCAGTGGCTCACACCTGTAATCCCAGCTACTCAGGAGGCAGATTAGGAGGATCAAGGTTCAAAGTCAGCCCAGGCAAACAGTTCAAGAAACCCTAGCTTGAAAATATCTAACACAAAAAAGGGCTGGTGGAGTGGCACAAGTGGGAGAGTGCCTGCTTAGCTATGCGTGAGGCCCAGAATTCAAACCCCACTATCAATAAAAACAAAAACAAAAAACCCCCAAAACCCCCCTCCTCTTATAGTTTTTAAGTGACCTTCTAAACTGTTTTGTTTATTCACATGCATCATGCACACTGATGTCAGATTATATTTCAAAAACTCTTATTAATAGTATTCTGCTGATCAGTGGCTGTCAATAATGACAATAATTGCCAATAATTTTTGTCTTACAGGCAAAAATTAATTTTTCTAAGCCTGCTCTTAAAAGCGTTCTTTAATCTGTCTCCTCTTATCTCTAGCTAGTTGTTTTCCATTCTAACACTGAGCCTTAAACCAAGATAAATCCATCTAGAAACTCTCCAAACATATCTTGAACATCCTAGGTTCAATGCCTTTTGAAAACTAACCCCTTCATCTGTGTTTCCTTCTCATTGTGCCCCTAAGTTTTGAATCTCATTCAACTTTCAGTTATTCCATGTGTAGGGTTTTCTCTTCTGTTACATCAGAGTAGTAAAGTGATTTTAACTCGTTTAAAATGTCAAAGTAATTGTCAAAATTTAAAAATTATTGAAATTGGAAGCTCCAGTAGGGCCCACGCTTCAACAAATGATGAAGGTGATAGTAGGTGACAGCTTTAGACACCCGTTGTTCAGTTGAAAATTCAGGGCTTCATTCAAAAGTTATTTAGCGTACCTATCATTGCCAAGCACTCTTTCAGGCCCTAGGGATACGGCAGTGAGCAAAACTCATCATGGAATTTATATTCTAATGAAGGGAGTCAGGCAACATGGTAATTAATTTCATCTTAGCGATGAATGGTATGGAAAAGGAAGCAGGGTTAAGAGGTACAGGGCAGCGTGGGTGGGAAGGGTGCTTGCACTGTCACCGTCACTTGAATACCCGGCTGATCATATGGGAACCCGAGTTTATACTCCTACTAACAGCCGAATTGTGAAAAATGCTATGCGCTGTCCCTATAAAACCTCAGCAATTCGAGGAGGACGCAACACTCTAAGCGCAGAGCCAGGTCCCGGATTCTCAAAGCTAGGTACCGGCGGCTCCGTTTCCAAGGCAACGAGACTGCGACACCGACGCAACCGCGGGCCCCTGCCATCAAGGACAAGATTTGGCATCCTGGAAGTAAATTAGTGAAATAAAGTAACACTCGGAGCCGGCAACCCCGCGCGAAAAGTCCCGGACGACAGCACCCATGTTGTGCACGCGCCTGCGCTGCAACTTCCCGGCCTCCGGCGTCTCCCAGTTCTAGGAGGGACAACTTCCGGTTTTGAGGGTCCTCGGCTCCGTAGCTCGCCGGGGTCCTAACTATGGAAAGGTGGCCGCGGCGGCCGCCAGATTGCTGAGGCGATCCGGGTCAGGGGCTGCACCCTCCTCCTGGAGGATGACGGCGACAAGTGCGCCGGGAAGCTGCTCGAGGCCAGCCGGATCTCGCCGCGGGCGGCGAGCTGGGGGCGGAGCGCGGACTGGGAGTCGGCCTGTCAGGCGGGAGACGGGCAGGTGTAGTGGCGGAAGTGCGGGGACCGCAGCCCGAGCCGAGCCCTCTAGGAAGCTGCTGCGGGTTACCCAGCGAGAAGCAGCTGCTGAGCCTTAGCCAGACCGCAGCTTCTGGGGCTGGGTCGCCGGCGAGATGCCTCTGTTCACCGCCAACCCATTCGAGCAAGACGTGGGTGAGTGCTGTGCCCGGCCCTGGGCTGTTGTTTGTCGGGCTAGAAAGTGGGCGGCGGCGGCGGCAACTGTGACCACTGGAAAGCTGAGCAGAAAGAGAGAAGGGGCGGTGCCGCCGCCTTGACGTCGCGGGGGTGAGGGGCGTTCGACGCGTTTCCAGTGGTCCTGAGGTTGGGGACCACGAAAGGGCTGTCTCCCTCGCCAGAAACAGGAATAGGGAATAGCCTGGGATTCGCTTCTGGAAACTATTTGAGGAGTTAATGGTACCAACTTCCCGCTCCGTCCAAAGCTGACACCCCCGCACGCCACCCCGACCACGGTGCCGCAGGGGAGACCCTGCCGTCTAGGGCAGCCCCAAAGTAACCTTGACCTACCCGGATGAGCGGGAAGAAGTAACTTCATTGCTTACACAGCACGCCTCCGAGTCCCGGTAGTGCAGCTTCAGCACTTATTTACAATTGTGAAGGTGCTACGAGGTGTTCTGTCTCAGAAAATCGAAAATTTTGGAATCCCAAAACAACACAGAACAACCACTTTTTTGGAGGAGGGTGTGTGGCAAGTATTTACTAGCGTTGGTCTTTCGGTGACTATAGAATGAGAGATGGATGAGATATAAGAAGTTTTTTTGGGCATTAGAATGACAGTAAAGCAGTAAGGAAACATTTTTGTAGTAGCAGTTAACAGAACCATGGGTAGATTGTTAGCACACTTAGAAATTCTGAGCCAAACAAAATGCTGTACATCTCAACAGTAAGCCCCCTGTTTCATACTTGAAAATCCTTAATTAAGAAAAGACTATAAAATGCTCTGTTTGGGTGTGTGATGTAATCTTTGAAACTGTTCAAAAAGTCATCCACGTGAGAGTCAAATAATTAATATGTAAATATTTTCAATTATGTGTTTACTCTAGTCTTCAAATATGTATTTCTGTTGTTGCAGTCCACTTTTTCCAGGGAGATGAACACAAGTGACTGGCACAAGTCATGTTTCTGCTTTTGGAACAATTATTTCTTCCATTGTTTCAGTAATGTTTCTGAGACCTGTGGTTTTTTTTTTTTTTTTTTTTTTTTTTTGAGACAGGATCTGGTCATGTAGCTCAGGCTGGCCTTGAACTCCTGATATCCCTGTCTTAGGCTCTGAGGTGCTGGACTGTCTGGGCCAGGCCTGGGCCCCCACACCTGGCTTGAGACCTGTACTTTTTATTGCTTTTGTGAAGACTTTCGTTTTGTTTTATGAAATGCACAGAAGAGGCAAAATAGAATAGGACAAATTATTTTAAAACTTACTAACTCTAAACACTTTTCAAGGGAAGTCTTTCCTGGAAGCCCATTGTTTTCTTATGGAAAACTCTGGTAGACCTAGGCTGACTGCTCTGCCTTTTTTGCTTTCTAAACCTTAGTTTTATGTGGTAGTAACAGTGGCACTGCTGTTCAGATAAAGGCCAACTTTGTATAGATTATTTCATAGGCTATGCCCCAACAAAAAAGTGCTTAGCTGACAGATGACTGAACTCAGTTTTTAAAAGGCAAGTTAAGGGTAGAAGAGTGAGTTTGATTAAGATCCATTTATAACTTCTAGACAAATGAATAAAACTAGAAAAAAAGTGGAATGAAATACTAAGGAGCTCAAATTGACCATAAGTTTATGTAATTGAGGGGAATTATATATTGATTGTTCAGATATTAAAACTCTTTAGTTTAAAATAAATAATACAAAGCAGGTCATTATTTGACCTGAGATTTTTACAGGAATGTTCCTTTACAGTGTCTTATGTAATGTCTATTCACTTCATTCAAAAACATGCATTGAATGATTACTGTGTGTCAAGCATTGCACTAAGTTCTAGTTCTAGGGCCACAAAATTGAGTAAATACAGAGTTCTTGCCCTTAAGGAACTTTTTTTTTGGCAGTCCTGGGGTTTGAACTCAGGGCCTCATACTTGCTAGGTAAGTGCTCTTTACCACTTGACCAACCCCCAGCTCTTTTTACTTCCGTTACTTTTCAGATAGAGTCCTGTGTTTTTTCTCAGTTCTAGCCTAGGCCATTATCCTATGCTTCCCCAGTAGCTGAAACCATAGGCGTGTACCACCAGGCCCAGTTTGGTTGAGATGAAGGGTGAGATCTCACTAACTTGTTGCTCAGGCTGGCCTTGAACCATAATCCTCCTGATCTTTGCCCTTAAGGAACTCTTAATCTAAGGTAAGACACATTCTAATATAAAGTGATTAATATAGTGTGATCAATGTAGGAATACATGAGATGCTTTACATCCTCCCCTTTATTTATTTATATTATTTTCTTTTGGCAGTAGTGTTTGAACTCAGGGTCTCACGCTTGCTAGGTAGGTGCTCTACCACTTGAGCCACTCTGCCAGCCCTATCTTTGTGATGGGTTTTTTTGAGATAGGGTCTCAAAAACTACTTGCCTGTGCTGACCTTGAACTGTGATCCTGCTGATGTCTGCCTCCTGAGTAGCTAGGATTACAGTTGTGAGCCACTAGTGTCTGACTCTCCCCTTTATTTAAAATAGTCATCTTCCTTGAAGAAAAGGCAGGCAGCTTCAGGTAAGAGCTTTCTCTTGATAATCAGCACTATCCTCTTCTTCCCTTCCTGACTGCACTTACACCAGCAGGAAGTAACCACTTCTTACTGTATGTATGATATGGTTACCTGCCAAAGGGGAAAGTAAACATGAGAGAGAGAGCTACAGTAGGAAGATGGAGTGGTTAGTATTAGAAAAGAAGAGAGTATTTGCTTACATTCTATACCAGCTTTTCTAGTCTCACTATTTTGGGTCTTGAGTTATGAAATTTATTCTATATACTAACTCCAGTTCTTGTTTGCATGTCTTTCCTCCTTAGTCAAGCAAGGCAATTTTTGTGTGTGTGCTAGTTTCTGCCTCTGTTATCATTCACTGTTAAGTGTTGCTCTTTTTTTTTTTTTTTTAATTTGAGATGGTCTATTACCGTACAGCCCAAGCCAACCTTGAACTCAAGATCCTCCTGGCTTAGCCTTTTGAGTGCTGGGATTTCAGGATTTCAGGCATGCACCACCATACCCAGCTATAAATGTTTACCCTTTTCAACAACCTTGATGTCTAATTCCTGAAAGATAAACTTACTTGGCTTGCACCAAGCCTACTGTAAATCCTATTCTGTAAGAGTCTTGGGATATAGTTTGAAGTGTGAACTTTTTTCTTAAGAGGACACTTTTCCAAGTGAAAAATATTTCTTTGCCGATTCTGGGAGTTGAACTCAGGGTCTTGTGTTTGTTAGGCAGGTGCCCCACTACTTGAGTCACTCAACCATTCCTTTCTGTGCTGGTTATTTTTGAGACAGGGTATTGGTTTGCGTCCAGGCTGGACTGGGATCCACCTATTTATGCTTCCCTCATAGCTTCGATGACAGGGATGCACCACTGCACCCACCCTTTGGTTGAGATGGGGGTCTCACAAACTTTTTGCCCAGGCTGGCCTCAAACCAAAGTCCTCCCAATCTCTGACTCCTAAGTGGCTAGGATTGCAGGCTTCAGCCACCATGCCCAGCCCCAAGAGAAATTTGGATGCCTGTGTTGCTGTATTTTTGGCTTTTGTTGTGTTAGGAAAAATTGACAATGAAGTAACTTGGAGCTTTCAGTAATGCAGTCTTTTTCTCCAATGAAATTTTGTAAGAAACACCAATATAAAAGTAGATCGTGATAACATTCCAATAATAAAAATTTATTTGTACATCAAATTTATAACATTCACTTAATTCAGTCCTTGAACACAATGTGATTGTTATAGTCCTTGTAAAAATTTAAAATAAAAAACATATGGTTATGGATAAAAAATGGCAATTTTTTCTATACTTATTTTGCTTGCATGTTTCCAGAAAATGTTAATACTTTTAGGTAGTTCAAGATTTTTATTAATATAGTTTAAGGTTTTTTTTTAAACTGAAATATTTTAAGCATAAACTGTAAGTTACAACATAAATTCCTATTCCTAGTAGCTAACTCCGCCAGTTTCTCATATTTTGACATGCTTGATTCTTTCTTAAGCAGAGTACATTCAAAGGCTGGAGGTGGGGCTCAATTGGTAGAGTGCCTGTCTAGTAATCATGAGACCCTGAGTTCAAACCCCAAGTACTGCCAAAAAAAAAAAAAAAAAAAAAAAAGAGACAAGAGAACATTTAAGATATAGTTGAAATACAGTTCAGTGTATTTTTAGGAGCTGTCTGATTCCTTTTTTTTCCTCTCAGAGTTAAGTAAATAGAAAATCTCTTTTGTAAATTTGTATAGTACACATACATACACTATGTATGTTGTTTTGCATGTTTTGAAATTTAATAAAAATACCTTTTTCTGCAACTTTTGTCAACCAGCCTTTTTGTGTTATTCATGTTGATATATGGGTTGTATGATAGTCCCCCATGTGAATACATCACATTTTATTAAGTCACCTACTTACGGACATACTTACATTATAGCTTGAAAGGCAGGAAAACATAGGGAAAAACTTAAAGATAGAGGCACAGGCAACAACTTTCTGAATAGAAGTCCAGTTGATCAGGAAATCAGAGCATGAAATGACAAATGTGATTGCATCAAATTAAAAAGCTTCTGCACATCAAAGGAAACAGTTACTAGAATGAAGAGGCAACCTATAGAATGGGAGAAAAATCTTTGCCCGTTAGTCATTGGACAAAGGACTAATACCCAGAATATATAATGACCTCAAAAGATTAAACACCAAAAGAACAAATAATTCAGTTAATAAGTGGATAAATGCATTGTAAAAGTAGGTCTCAAAAGAAGTACAAATGGCAAGTAAAGACACAAAGAAGGTTCAACATTCTTACCCATAAAGGAAATGCAAATCAAAACAACATTGAGATATCGTGTCATCCCATTCCGAATGGCAATCATCAGGAAAACAAAGAACAGTAAATGCGGATGAGGATGGTGTGGGGGAAGGAACTCTTTCTTATACACTATTGGTGGGATTGTAAGTTAGTGCAATC